ATGATGCTCATCATAATCCATAAACTATAAGATAACGTAATAGTATAGCTAATATAAGTTTGTAACTGAACTGACTTGCTGCTTTTTCACAAAACTTAGGTTTGAAACCAAAGCTGCACAAAAGTTTGAGAGCTGTGAGTGGGAAAGTGGCAACTGAAGCTGAATGTAAACTTAAACAGTTTCAGAACCGGACATAGATCTTAGTAATGACAACTAATGATTAATAATTGAGTTACGCTATAAATACAATTAATAATTCAAAAATTGAAACACTATTTTTATAATGCGGTAGGTCTTCTTATGGTTGGTTCTTATTTCAAAATTCTTTTCTTCCATTAATGAACTGAAAGCTAAGGCAAAAATTATAATTATCAATAAAAAGGATTATTAATTAATAAAATTTAATAAAAGGTACGGAAACAAGTAAATAAAAAAGTTTCTATAAAGAAGAAAAAGTAGGGTTGTCAAAAAATAAATGAAACAAGGGGGTTGAGTTCAACCATAATAATAATTAATAGTTCAATAATAATAAACTTTAATTAATAAAACAATTTACTCATGAAAATAATACAAAAATTTCAAACCCTACTCTGCAGAAAGTGGTAACAGGTAGACTACAATGTACTGTATAGCCGTTAATTAAACTTTAATTAATAAAACAATAATTTACTCATGAAAATAATACAAAAATTTCAAACCCTACTCTGCAGAAAGTGGTAACAGGTAGACTACAATGTACCGTATAGCCGTTTAATTTCGAGAGTACAACTTTCACTGTTTTCAAGGATTTTCCGTATTCGCGAAAGTTAATTCCGTGAAATATCCGTATTGCCGATAAACACGTGTGCTTTAAAACAAGAACCGCGAAAGTTAATTCGCGAAAAAAGACTTATGGCCTGATTCGCGAAAGTTTATTGCCTCGAAACTTTGTGGCTATACGGTAAATAGAATCTTAATAATAATTATGCCTCTGTACCTATTGATTGCTCTACTACAAGACTATGACGTAAATTAATTATTGTGATAAATATAAATAAGACTTTTCAGCTAGTATTGATTGAATAACGTGTGTTCGCAATAAAAATCTAAATTATGGATTGGCTAAAGCATTCTTTGAATCTTGGAATTCAGTACAATATTCAAAAATTAAAAATATTAATATAAATGCTTGTTAGAAATTGTAATTGCATGGACTTGCAACGTTATCAATTTCTGCAAAGTAGGGTTTGAAGTTTTTGTATTATTTTCATGAATATATTATTTTTTTATTAATTAAAGTTTATTATTATTTATTGAACTATTAATTATTATTATGGTTGAACTCAACCCCCTTGTTTCTTTTATTTTTGACAACCCTACTTTTTCTTTATCATAAAAAATTTTTTATTTACTTCTTTCCATACGTTTCATTAAATTTTATTAATTAATAATCCTTTTTATTGATAATTACAAATTTTTTCCTAGGTATCAGTTCATTAATGGCAGAAAAGAATTTTGAAATAGGAACCTTAAGAAGACCTACCGCATTTTAAAATGTTTTTGAATTTTTGCATAATTAATTATATTCATAGCTTAACTCATAATTATTAATCATTAGTTATCATTACTAAGATCTATGTCCAGTTCTGAAACTATTTGAGTTTACATTCAGCTTCAGTTGCCACTTTCCTGCTCACAGCACTCAAACTTTTCCGCAGTTTTGCTTTGCATCCTAAGTTTAGTGAAAAAGCAGCAAGTCAGTTCAGTTACAAACTTACATTAGCTATATTATTATGTTATCTTATAGTTTATGCATTATGATGAGCATCATGGAGTTCCTCCTCCTCCACAATGAATGAGGAGGAGGAGGCACACACAATATGTTTATGAATATCCTACTACTAGGATATTGATAAGAATTTAATATAATATAAATCAATATCAATATGATTCATTACTTGAAGAAAAGAATTTTTTAAATAAGAAACATAAAAAGACCTACTGCATTATAAAAACAGTTTTGAAACAATCATTATTTTTTGATTTTTTGAATCATTAATTATATTCATAGCCTAGCTCATAATTATTAATCATTTCTAACATGCATTACTAAAATTTATTTCCTTTTCTGAAACTACTTAAGTTTACATTCAGCTTCAGTTGCCATTTTTTCAGCAATATCCACAGTCCACATTGGGCACTCAACTAAACTTTTAATAAAGTTTTGCAACATTTTTGAAAAAGCAGCAAGTCAGTTCAGTTACAAACTTACATTAGCCATTAATTATTTTCTTACTTTGTGGTAGTTCATGGATTATGACGAGAATGTTGGAGTTCCTCCTCCACCAGTAGCTTAAGATGGAGGGCCTCCAGCACCACCTCCAGGAGGCCCGCCACCACCACCAGCACTAACGGCAGTAGCTGGATGCCCGCCACCTCCAGCACCACCAGTAGCCGGAGATGGAGGGCCTGCACCACCACTCCAGGAGGCCCGCCACCACTACCAGCAGTACCGGCAGAAGCTGGAGGCCCGCCATCTCCAGTACCACAAGTAGCTGGAGATAGAGGGCCTCCACCACCACCTCCAGGAAGCCCGCCACCACCACCAGCACTACAGCAGTAGCTGGAGGCCCTCCACCTCCAGCACCACCAGTAGCTAAAGATGGAGGACCTCCATCACCACCTCCAGGAGGCCTGCC